CAAAATTGTGATGTCCTCTTGGTGGATTTTTTCCTTTGATGAGAATATAGTGGCCCTCCTTATCTTTTTTATTAACTTGGATTGAAAGTCTATTTTATTAGATATTAGGATGGCTACTCCAGCTTGTTTTCTGGAACCATTTGCTTGCAAAACATTTTTCCAGCCCTTTACTCTGAGGTAGTGTTTATCTTTGTTGCATAGGTGTGTTTCTTGGATGCAACAGAATGTTGGATCCTGTTTCTGCAACCATTCTATTAGTCTCTGTCTTTTTACTGGGGAGTTGAGCCCGTTGATGTTGATAGATACTAGTGACCAACAATTGTTACTTACTTTTGATGTGGTGTTGGTGGTGTCACTGAGTTTCATTGCTTGTATTCTTTTGAATTTTTGTTGTGTAGTTATCTATTTCCTCTGTTTCCTTAGATGTAGTTATTTTCTTTGGTTTGGAGTTTCCCTTCTAGTAACTTCTGTAGAGATGGGTTACTATGTAGATATTGTTTAAATTTGGTTTTGTCTTGGAATATTTTGAATTCTCCGTCTATGTTGATTGAAAGTTTTGCTGGGTATAGTAGTCTAGGTTGGAATCTGTGGTCCCTTAAGGACTGTATGATTTCTGTCCAGGTCCTTCTGGCTTTCATAGTTTCTGTTGAGAAATCTGGTGTGATTCTGATAGGTCTACCTTCATATGTTACTTGGCCTTTTTCCCTTGCTGCTTTTAGAATTTTTTCTTTGTTCTGTAGGTTCAGTGTTTTGACTATGATGTGACGTGAAGAATTTCTTTTCTGGTCTAGTCTACTTGGTGTTCTGTAGGCCTCTTGTATGTTTATGGCCATCTCCTTCTTTAAGTTGGGAAAGTTTTCTTCTATAATTTTCTTGAAAATATTTTCCGGACCTTTGAGCCTGAAGTCTTCTTTTTCTCCTACCCCTATTATTCTTAGATTTTGTCTTTTCATGGTGTCCTTGATTTCTTGGATGTTTTGTGTTTGGAACTTTTCTGATTTTATTTTTTCTTTGAGAGACGTGTCAATTTCCGCAAGTGTATCTTCGGCTCCTGAAATTCTTTCTTCCATCTCTTGTATTCTGTTGGTGATGCTTACCTTTGTAGTTCCCGATCTTTTCTCTATGTTCTCCAGCTCCTGGTTTTTCTCTATTTGTGTTTTCTTTATTGATTCTAATTCTGTTTTCATGTCTTGCACCATTTCGTTCATCTGTTTGAAGGTGGAGTCCTGCTTTTCGATGATAGCTTCTATTTTTTTGTCCGTTTCCTCTGTATGTATCACTAATTGTGCCTCTACTTCTTGGCTATAATTGCCTGTATTTCTATGAGAGCTTTGTTTATTTCTTCTTTATTTGCCTTTATTTGTGTGGACATTTCTTTGAGAGCTTTGTGCATTTCTTCTTTGTTTGCCTCAATTTTTGTGGTCATTTCTCTGAGAGCTCAATTTATTTCCTCTTGCTTTGTCTCGATTTCTTTGGCTCTTTCTCTGAGGGCTTTGTTCATTTCATCTTTATGGGCCTCTAATAGCTGGAGAAACATAGTTTTGAGGTCGTTTTCTTGTATATCTAGTGAATTGAAGTGTCCATTGTTTTGTGGGGTTGCTGGTGAGGTCATTATGTCCTGATTTTTGTTGGGAGTGTTCTTACGTCTGCCTCTAGCCATCTGGTTATTTATAACCCTCACTATTTGTTCCTCGAGTTTGTAGTTCGGGCTATGATCGTCTCTTTCTGTTTTCTGAACTGTTTTTTTCAGCCAGATGAGAGAGGTTCACTGGTTTGTGAGTATGCGTTGTGGTTTCACTTTTGCCTAAGTAAGGAATGTGACGCTGGCGCTATTCGCATGCATTTTTAGCAGGCACAGTGTGCCTGTGCACAGTGCAAGAATTCTTTGACTATTGCAGTGGCCTGCAGGCCACTATTATGCAGTTATGTCTGAGATCCAGGGATTCTTTGCCTGGATTACACTGGTGGACCCACAAGGCAGAGGCTTCAATGTTGGGGTCGCTATCCCAAGAATCCCTATGATGCCCACACTAGGGGTGTGGGTGGCAGGGATCTCATCTGGTTGCTTCTGTGGAGAGGCCCTGGGTCTGGGGCAAACTGTTCTTAGAAGGCTCACTCACTCTCTTTCAGGACCAGTTGGAATGCAGAGGGGGTCCCCTTGCTCACTACTCTCTGATTTGGTCCTGCTGTGGAAGTGCACAGGTAAGCTAACAGTCAGCTCTGTGACACTGTGGCCGCAGGACTCAGTGTCCACCTTTCCTGTGTGCTGCCTCTATGTCCTTTCCCTCTGCCAGGAGGGGTTATGTTCACTGGTCCCAGGGTAGCGCGGGAAAGAGGTTGAGTGTTCTCAATCCCAGATCCCGGGCCCAGATCTCTCTGCCAGAAGCAGCCTGGTGGAAGAACCTATGTTTGCTGATCCCAAGAGGGTACCAGGTAGGGTTGAGTGTACTCAGATCCAGAGCTTGGGTTTCTCTGCTAGGGGCCGCTGGGTGTGCTGGAGAGGGGGTGCTGTGTCCTGTGGCAGGCTGCCTCTCTGTCCTTCCCCTCTGACCTTCCCCTCTGCTAGGACAAGCTTATGGTAGTGTTCTCAGGGGAGTGCCAGAAGGGGTTGGGACTTCTCAGTCCTATCCTGAGCCGGGGTTTCTCTGCCAGGGGTCGGGGGGGCGCCGTTGATAGGTCTTGGTGCTAGACCTTATTGCGCTGGACCCAGGAGAATCTCAGGACGTATTGAATGACCACAGTCCCAGATTACGAGCTGAAGTTTGTTTGCTAGGAGCAGCCGGCAGCACTGGGGTCCCAGTACTGTGAAGCCGCTGTGCGCCTCTTTATCCTTCCCCTCTGCCGTGGCAGGGCAGATTTTGAGCTGGGTGCGCAGCTGCTCTCCACGCACGGTGGGAGCTCAGTTGTGATGGCTGCAGGTACCCATGGTCTGAGAGAACTTCCAGGGAAAGACTGGGTGACCCGTGATCAGTCTCGCAACTTTCCTTCCCCGTGGGGTTTTCTTGAGACTGGGACTCACAGTCTCTGGTACCCTTGTGCCCACCAATCAGCCTGGGAAAGTGATGGGGACAAGCAGGCGTGTGGCTCCAGCCCAGAGACCCAAAGCCCGCATTACCCAGGATCTCTTCCCGGTTCTGGCTGTGTGGCCCGAGAGTGGAACCGACCAATTCCCACGCTGTGGGAGCCTCTCCTCACCTGGGAAACACGATCACTGTACTTTTAGGGCCCAGAGTTCAGTCTCCTGGTCGCTGCACGGAGAGTGTTGTCCTGCTTCTCAGACACAGTGTGCTCCTGGCACCACCATCTTAGACCCCACAAGGTCTGATTTTTTTAAATTTACTTTTCATATTATGTATTTTCTGGAATGGGGTAGGGTGTGTATGTCACAGCACACATCTCAGAGGACCACTCTTTGGAATTGTTTCTTCCCTTCTAGAATGTAAGTCATCATGACTGGAGGCCAGCACTTCTGAACACGGAGGCTCCCTCATTTCTCCTGCTCTGAGCAATTACTTAGCTGGTGCATTGGGTTTGATAATTCGGGCACCTTTGCTTTCCCATCATATCTCACATTTCAGATAAAATAAAACCATCTTACACCCATGATATTCAAATGATAATTATTTCTTTACTATATGACTTCATTTTTATATTATTGCATAATTTAGGATTATGATGCCTCAATTAAACTAAATACTTGCATTGCATGAGAAAGAATTTTCGAGAAGACCCTTCATCAAATCTTCTGCTGTACATCTGAGTCTTTGGCCACCTGAATCTGAGAAGCATCACTGCTTCCTCAAGGAGGTATGAAATCCTACACTCCTGTGCAGCCCATCATTCAGGAAGAGTTGGATAATCCTTCTTTCATTAAAACCTTACAATGGGAATGGCTCTCAATCCATTGTAACTATAATTCTTAATAATTGTTTGCTTTCAAATGTGGAGAGAGACAAAACTTAGACCACATTCCTGGCAGCTTCTGGTAACTGAACACTTCTCATGGGGGCTTTTATTTGCTGTGACATCAGCACATATCTCAGATGCAGTTACAATGTGAGATTCACAGAGAAGGCCTAAACTGCGAGCAGGATGCTCTGGAAAGGATTGCTTGGGAAGTCTATTGTGTTCATGCTTACTCTTCTCTGTTTTGGGCTGGGAGAAAACAAACAGTTGTTTTTTAAACTATATTAACTATCCCAAGTCACAAACATAAGGAACCTTCATGAGAATAAAGCCAGCAAGCAGCCTACACTTCCAAAGAGTTCGCCCTGTGCAGGGAACACTATGCTTGGTATGTAGACTTCACCTTCTTACACATTTCCCTGACACAGGCACACAGATGTCATATGTTCTAACTCTGTAGCTCAGCCCCAGACTGGTCAGGATAACAAACAGGATATGGAAGGAGTGGGCACGATATGAAGGAGTCTGGATTCAGAGTTTCCACTCCTAATGCTCCTGCAGAACCACATGAAGAGCACAAGGTCTGAAGCAAATGAGCAGAACAAATAGACTGGAATAAAATGACTCTGGACCTGTTTAAGACAAGGACACAGCTTCATCTGAGGATCTTATTTCTACTTTCTTGCAATCCTCATTGAACTTAACCAAAACCTGCAGAGCTGCTCTGTGTCTGGCAAGCAATATGATGCAGATAAAAGACAAGTAAGACATTGCTTTTCCCTCAGGAAACATCAAATAGGAAACAGTAGGAAAAGAAATATTTTCATGACACATGACAATTGTAATATGGGAGAAAGCTTCTATCTGGATGGGGCACATAAGTGTCAGAACAATGGAGAGAGTGGGCATCGCTTCTGGGCACTTTGATATGAAGGCAATCTTAAGCGGTATAAGGCAGAGCTGGGAAATAAGCATCTTTCTAAGGAGAGTGGAGCTGCCATTGTCTGCAGCTGATGAGCAAGCCTAGATTAGTGATAAGGAATCTTCTTGCTGTTCTGCCCTCACTGTTCCTACCTGATTCTTTCAGCCTTAAAATGAACAAAATCTACAAACTGTCGGGTAACATCAAGGTAAGAAACACCATTTATGCTGGAGCTGGGATTGGGCTCTCAGGCAACAGCTTCCTTCTTCTGTTCCAGGTCCTCAAGTTCATTCGTGGGCAGAGGCCCAGACTCACTGATCTTCCCATCAGTCTCTTGGCCCTAATCCACATACTGATGCTGGTAGTCGTGAGTTTAGTAACTACAGACATTTTTATGCCAGGGAAGAGATGGAGTGCCTCCACATGCAAATTTGTTATGTTCTTGCACAAGTATTTTAGGAGCCTCTCTCTTTGTGCCACTAGCCTGCTCAGCATCCTCCAGGCCATCACCCTCAGTCCCAGAAGTTCCCGTCTAACAAAATTCAAATGTAAATCTCCACACCACATGCTAGGTTGCCTTCTTTTCCTGAGTATCTTTTATTCATCCATTAGCAGTCCCCTTATAACATACATAACTGTGATGCCTAATCTGACCTCACCTGGTTTTATATACCTCGGTCAATCTTGCTGTGTTGTGCCCATGAACTACTCTGTCCATCACACATTTTTTATATTGTTGACCTCCAGGGATG